CACTGCAGAACAAAATACTTCAGGCAGGGTGCTGAAAGCCTGGCTGGCTCTTCCCATCCCACAAGAACACAAGGATCAGGACCTGAGGGAGTGGCTGCAGCTGTGCCAGGCCTTGGCATGGAGCTCAGGGCAAGGTTCTGCCCCCCGAGGCTGCTGGGCACTGCCCAGGCTGCCCAGGGAATGGTGCCAAGGCTGCCAGAGCTGCAGGAGCTCCCAGGGCTGCTCAGGGTGGGGGCGTTGGGGTGGCTGTGCAGGGACAGGGGCTGGATTTGATGACCCCTGTGGGTCCTTTCCAGCTCTGCACATTCCAGGATTCTGTGATCAATGCAGACAAAAGAGCTCAGAGCTCCAGACCTGGGTGCAGCTTTCTGCTCTGGGTTCAAAAACATCCACCTCCAAACCACCCCCAGACAGCATCAAACCAGCAAACCAGGGCTGCCTACCTTAAGATATTTATGAAGAGCTGTATTATGCCTCTTTTATGTCTTTCAGCATACTCAGGACCTCGACTTTAAAGAGAGACCTATTTTTCCCCTCTACAGCTCTTGAAAAGACGCTTTTAGGACTGAAGGCAGCTCTTCCCTCCTCCTTACAGTGCACGCTTTCAAAGCACTTCACACACATTCAATAATCTTTTCATCCTGCTCTGAAGCAGGTGGTTTTTAGTCGTCTCAGAGATGGAAAAAGCACTTCAGCCAAGTCAGGATGAGAATTTGCAATCTCCAGATTCCCAGTCCTGGACAGAAAACCCCATCAGCCTCAGCACAGGATTTTCACAAACCTCTAAGGCACCCATATTCTGTTACCACACAGGTAATTCCTGCAATAAAACACTGGAATAGATTTCCCACATCAAGCATTCCACGTTTCAGACCCCAGCTCAAATGTGCCCCTGTCTCAACATGTTTGTATTTATGGATCTGCTTCCAGATAAAGGGAAAAGGGGAAAGGGAAAGGGAAAGGGAAAGGGGAAGGAGGAACGGAAAGGGGAAGGGAAAAGGAAAAAGGGGAAAGGGAAAAGGGAAAAGGGAAAAGGGAAAAGGGAAAAGGGAAAAGGGAAAAGGGAAAGAGGAAAAGGGAAAGGAACTCCTGACAATCCAGCAGCAGTCAGGGAAAACTCAGTCCTGCTCCTGCAGATCTCCAAGGGGAATAGAGGGCTCTGCACCACTCCCCCCCAGCACTGTGTGTGCAAAACAGGAATAATTTCTGAACACCTGAACCTTGGGAAGCCTGGAGCAGTGAGGGTGGGCAAAAAAAGGGGGGAAACAGTGCTGCATCCCACTAATTCCTCTTTCCAGGTCCTCTCTGCTGCACCTGGCATAAGTGCATGTCCTCCCCCTCCCACAACCTGCCAGGGCCAGCTCCACTTGCAGTTTTCAAAAGCTCCTTTTAAAGCTACGAAATTGCACCAAGAGTTTTGGGGTTCCTGCCAATCCTCTGGTGATCCTCAAACATCAAAGCCAGCCCCAGCCTCAAATCAATATGCTTAACAGGCTGCTCCCTTAGATGTTATCCTTTTTTTCTAGGCACCATCCCAGAAAACACCAATCTGTGCTGTGGCTCTTGGTGTAGAAACCAACCTGCCTTGGCAAAAAAAATAAAAATGACATTTTTAAAGCTTCTCTATCGAGTGATGTGATTAAATAGGTCAGACCTGCCCATGTGCATGGTTAGGAAGCTACTTCAAAACAAAACAGGCAGTTCCCCTGGCAGGGAGCAAGCCCTGGGGGATGGAGAAGCTGCTCCCAGAAGATGGTTGCCAGGTTCTGGCTGAGCTACTGCACCCTCTAGTGTAAAACCTCCAGATCCTTGAGGGCCAGGAGCCTCGGGCAGGCAGGGAATGAGAGGAGCACTTCAGCCAGAATCCTTCCCAGGAAACTGAGCCAAGCACTGCAAAATAACTGCAAAAGTCTCTCCTGCCCCTACAGGAATCAGGAACATTTTGTGATAAGCTGGAGTCTGTTCTAAAAGCCTGAGACTGCAGCAGGTCCATTGCTCATGTCCCATTTCTCAGTTGGAATCACAGAAACCCAGAATGGTTTGGGTTGGGAGGGACCTCAAAGCCCATCCAGTGCCACCCCTGCCATGGCAGGGACACCTCCCACTGTCCCAGGCTGCTCCCAGCCCTGCCCAGCCTGGCCTTGGGCACTGCCAGGGATCCAGGGGCAGCCCCAGCTGCTCTGGGAAATCCATTCCAGGGATGGATTCCACAATTCCTGATTCCCAATCTCCCACCCAGCCCTGCCCTGTGGCAGTGGGAGCCATTCCCTGTGTCCTGTCCCTGCAGGCCTTGTCCCCAGTCCCTCTGCAGCTCTCCTGGAGCCCCTTCAGGCCCCAAAAGGGGCTCTGAGGTGTCCCTGGAGCCTTCTCCTGTCCAGGTGAGCAGGCCCAGCTGTGCCAGGCTGGCTCCAGAGCAGAGGGGCTCCAGCCCAGGCAGCATCTCCGTGGCTCCTCTGGCCTGGCTGCAGCAGCCCCACGTCCTCCTGCTGCTGTTGCCCAGGGCTGGGGCAGCTCTGCAGCCAACACAGAACCAACATTAAAAAATGTCTGGAGGCAAACCCTGAACTGAGACAGAACTCCCAGCTCCCTGTTATGCCAGCTGTGCCATGTGCTGCATGCCAAGGGTTTGGCAAAGAGGCAGGAACAGGCTCTGAGCTGCCTGCAGGGAGCAGTGCCTGGAGCTCAGCCTCGTCATCCTGCTCCTTCCACAAATGACAGAACCTTCCCCTGGGAAATCAGACCCACACTGGGGCTCTTCTGTGCCAAAAGACTCTCCTAAGTGCTGTAGATTAGGTTGGAAATGAAGAAAATATAGAAATTATATAGAATAGATTCTATACAAGAATTTCTATTGAGAAATAAGTATAGAATATTAAGACTATAAGAATAAGAATTTCTAATAAGAATTTCTATAAGAATTTCTAATAAGAATTTCTAATAAGAATTTCTAATAAGAATTTCTAATAAGAATTTCTATAAGAAATTCTATAAGAAATTCTAATAAGAAATTCTAATAAGAAATTCTGTAAGAATCTCTATAAGAATCCCTATAAGATTCCCTATAAGAATCCCTATAAGAAATTATTTAAGAAATTCTATAAGAAATTCTGTAAGAAATTCTATAAGAATCTCTATAAGAATCTCTATAAGAATCCCTATAAGAAATTATTTAAGAAATTCTATAAGGTTCTATAAGAAATTCTATAAGAATTTGTTCTATAAGAAATTCTGTAAGGATCTAGAAGAAATTCTATAAAGAAATTAAGAATATAGAGAATACAGATGATATAGAATACAAAATATATAGAATATAGGGTTAAGAAAATATATTTCTTTCATAGAAAAAGTTGTCAAGCACAGCAGCACCTGGTGCAGGCCAAAATGAGCAATTCCAGTTCCAAAACTGACATTTCACTCAGATATTTAAAAACCTGCAGGAACAGCACACTGAAAGATAATTATAACATCATCTAAAGAACCATCCTAAAGCATTCTAGGGAGCTTTTAAAATTTGAAAGAACACCAAAATTTGCCAAAAAACTTTGTCTTTCTAACAATTATCTGCCTGTGACAGCCCTAAGAATGATTCTTTTATTTTAAACTAAACTAGTAGTGATGGTAAGCTGGCCTGGTAACCAGGAGACATCAATAATGAATCCTCTTCCAAACTTGAGAGCAACCCAAAGTTAAATAAGCACACAAAAAACATAAACTAGGCTTTGTTTTGGCAATTTCTGCTTCAGATTATTAGAAACTGTCCACACCAGCATTATTATCCTATTATACCTAACAGAAATAAAGCTTTCACATAAAGAAAGCCAGCAGGGCTCTTCTGGGGAGAAGAATGCAGGCTTTTTTCTGCCAATAAATCAGCAGAACGGCAAATAATGTGAATAAATGACAAGAGCTGCTGGAAGAAGGGCCAACAATAGCTCACTATTGATCCTGGTGGGTCTGTTCCAGCTCAGGATATTCCAGGACTGCCTGAATCACTGGGGGTTTGTGCCAGGCTGCCTTTGAGAGCCTGGCAGTGCCCTGTGCCCCACAAGCTCCTCATGGGCTTGGAGCACTGCCCCAGCACGTTCTGATAATCCCAGTATGGACCACTGGGGACCACTGCCCCAGCACATTCCAGTATTCCCAGTATGGACCACTGCCCCAGCATGTTCTGATAATCCCAGTCTGGACCACTGGCCCAGCACATTCTGATATTCCCAGTATGGACCACTGTGGACCACTGGCCCCAGCATGAATCACTGCCCCAGCACGTTCTGATATTCCCAGTATGGAGCACTGGCCCAGCACATTCCAGTATTCCCAGTATGGACCACCATGGATCACTGGCCCAGTATGGCTCACTGCCCCAGCACATTCCAGTATTCCCAGTATGGACCACTGCCCCAGCCCCCAGTACGGACCACCACCCCCAGCATGGATCAACCCCTGGCACGGACACGGGGGGTTCTGGCTGACCACGGTCCCCCAAAGAGCCCAGCCCGGGTCCTGCCTCCCGCCCCAGGCGGCTCCAGGATCTAACGGGAGCTGTCAGCAGCTCTGGAACCGGCCTGACACCTCAGCCCCACGTGAGCCCAGCGCCCGGAGCGACAAAGAACGGGACCGGGGCAGCGCCGGGGCTGTCCCGGAGCCTCGGGACGCTGCTCGCCAACACCCGGTGGGATCGCACCGAGCCCAGCCACCCTCAGCGCTGAGGCTCCTTCAAACCCTCCCGGGCCCCGGGGCGAACTGACAGCCACGGGCAGGGCTGGGCTTGGCCGGTGACACCGGCAGGCCGCGGGATCTGCACTGCGGAGGGGCTTGGGGGCTGAGCCAGGCCTTGAACGGCGGGCAGGCGGCAGGGGAGGCGGCCAGACACGGGTCTGCCCTCACCGGGGGAAAACACACGGGGCAGGGGGAGAAAGCACGACCGGGCCGGGAACGGCCGCACTCGGGGACGGGGCCGCGGGAAGGTGAGGGGGCACCGCGGCCGGGCCGGGCCGTACCTGCGCCGTGTCCGAGCGGGAGCCCCACGCTGGGGTCGCCTGAGGCTCCGGAGGCTCCGCACGGCGCCGGGGCCACCGGGGGGTGGCGGAAATGGCAGTAGGGCCTGCGGCACCCCCGGCCCGGCCCCGACCCCCCGGCGTTGAGGAACGGGCAGTCGATGCCGCGGAAGTAGCCGGTGGATCTGAGCATCCCGCCGGCTGCGGGGCGGGAGCGGGGCCGGGCGGGCGGAGGAGCCGCGGGCGGCCGGGACGCGCTCCCGCCTCACACGGCCGGTACCGGCCCCGCCGCCATCTTGGGAGCGCCGGGCGCGGCAGCGAGGACCCCGCGACGCCGCTGCCCGCACAGGGCTGCCCGCGGCGCGCCTGACAGCGGGGCGGGGCGGGCGGGGCTGAGGGAGGGGCGGGAACGGCCACGGGACCGGGAATGGCCTGAGGGGGATCGGGAATGGCCTGAGGGGCATCCAGAGTAGCCTGAGGGGATCAGGAGTGTCCTGGGGGGGATCCGGAGTGTCCGGGGGGGTTCGGGAATGGCCTGAGGGGGACCGGGAATGGCCTGAGGGGGACCGGGAATGGCCTGAGGGAAATCGGGAATGGCCTGAGAAGGATCTGGAGTGTGCTGAGGGGGACCCGGAGTGTGCTGAGGGGAATCCGGGCTGTCCTGAGGGGGATCCGGAGTGTCCTGAGGGGGATCCGGAGTTTCCTGAGGGGGATCAGGAACGTCCTGAGGGGGATCGAGAATGGCCTGAGCAGGCTCCGGAATGTCCTGAGGGGGATCTGGAATATCACGAGGGGGATCCGGAGTGTCCTGAGGAGGATCCGCAGCGATCATGGATCCAGCCCCTGTCCCTGCACAGGCACCCCAATACCCCCACCCTGAGCAGCCCTGGGAGCTCCTGCAGCTCTGGCAGCCTTGGCACCATTCCCTGGGCAGCCTGGGCAGTGCCCAGCAGCCTCGGGGGGCAGAACCTTGCCCTGAGCTCCATGCCAAGGCCTGGCACAGCTGCAGCCCTTGCTGGGCTCCTGTCCCTGTGCCAGAGCAGAGCTCAGCCCCTGCCCCTGTGCCTGCCCTGGGGAGGAGCTGCAGCCCCCGAGGAGCCTCCCCTCAGTCTCCTGGGCTGCAGCTTCAGCTGCTCCCGTTCCCTCGGGCCCGGCCGGGCTGCAGGGCCGCCATGCAGAGCCAGCGCTCTCAGGGCTGCTCAGGGTGGGATTGTTTGGTATCTGCAGGGCTGGGAGTTGGACTCAATGATCCTTATGGTTCCCTCACATCTCAGGAAATTGTTTTGTATTACTGAATTTTTTATTTTATTTTTATTCCCTAATGAAGAACTGCTATTCTTATTCCCATATCTTTGCCTGAGAGCCTCTTAATTTCACAATTGTAACAATTCGGAGGGAGGGGGTTTACATTTCCCATTTCAGGGAGGCTCCTGCCTTCCTTAGCACACACCTGTCTGTTCAAACCCAGACTGGGGCATCCACAGCTCCTGGGAATCCCCTGGCACTGCCCCTGGTGGGTGCTCAGAGCAGGGAGACTCCACCTGCAGCAGGTGAGGAAGGTGAACAAGGAGGAGCTGGCCTTGGCCAAAGGGAGGGACGAGGGAAAGATTACAGAGCTGTGTTTTGTAATAGTGTTAAGTGAAAAAAACTTCACTTTGTTTTCCAAATTTGGCCCAGGCTGCTGCCTCCTCCTGCCCATTGCTCCCATGGCATCCCAGCAGAGCCCAGGGACCAGCACTGAGCAGAACTAGCAGCTGCTGCCCCTGGGACAGCTGAATCATCCCTAAAGAGCTTCTAAAAAACAGGAAACCTCAGGAGGTAAGCTGCCTTCCCTCGGCCAGAAACCCTGCCCTGGTACTGGGGAGGGCTGTGCTGAGACCCCCACCCAGAACTCCCCACCAGGCCTGGGAGAGCAGGCTCACCTCCCCCCACAAAAACAGAGTGGTTTCATTTTTATAGTGTGGTTAAATCTATTTTATAGATCTTCAGCTGTAACAGAGAAACTTCAAGAAAGACACACACATAAAAGTTCAGATACATGGGGTATTTCCCTGCTTTATCATTCTCATCCTGTGCTTCTTCAAGTCACAAACCAGCAAAATGAAATGGTATAAATGAAATGAAATGAAATAAAAAATAAAATAAAAAAATAAGAAGCAATAAAAAGGTAAAATAAGAAATAGAATAAAGTAAAATAAAGTAAAAGAAAATAAAATAAAAGATAAAATAAGACAAAATAAGAAATAAAATAAGATAAAATAAGAAATAGAATAAAATAAAGTAAAATAAAATCATAAATAAAATAAAATAGAAATAAAATAAGATAAGATAAAATAATAAATAAAATAAAATAAAATAAATTAAAATAAAATAAAATAAAATAAAATAAAATAAAATACTTGTTTCTGCCCAGGCCTGGAGGCCCCCACATGGAAATCCTTCCCAAAATCGATGCTGGTTTTGCTGTTGCCTCCTCACTAGCTCAGGTTACTGGGGTGCCCACTCAGCTCCCAGTCAGGAGCCCTGGGAAAGCTCCCGAGGGTCCCTGTGTGCACCCAGGCAGCTCCTCTGGAAGCAGCACCCCCAAATTCCCTCCAGCCCTGCCAGGACCTGAACCCCCCCCAGTGTCCTGGACTGACCAAGGGACCCCCAAACCTGACCCAGCTCCTCAGAGCTCCCGAGCCTCTGCAGAGAAGGGAGGGGACCCCCAAACAGTGAGGGGGACCCCAGACAGTGAGGGGGACCCCCACCGAGTGAGGGGACCCCAGACAGAGGCTCTGATTCCAGGGGAGGAGGGGATGGGCTGGGGCAGGGGGGCACAGCACAGGGTGGGGCTGTCCCTGACCCTGCAGGGACACAGGGACAGGGGGTGGCCCTCGCTGCCCCAGGAGAGCCAGGCAGGGGCAATGTCACTGCAGAGTCACCCCTGGCACTGCCCTTCCTGCTGCTGGGGGACACAGGGACCTGTCCCCTGTGACAGGGAGATACCACATTGTGCTGGGTGACACTGGGATCTGTCCCCAGTGACACCACACTGTGCTAGGGGACACAGGGTGACACACTGTGCTGGGGAACAGTGACCTAGAGACCTGTTCCCAGTGACAGGGGGATACACTGTGCTGGGGGACAGTGACACAGGGACGTGTCCCCAGTGACACCACACTGTGCTGGGGGACACAGGGTGACAGAGAGACACATTGTCCTGGGTGACAGTGACACAGGGACCTGTCCTCTGCAACAGGAGACATCACACTGTGCTGGGGGACACAGGGACCTGTCCCCTATGACAGGGGGGCACCACAGGGTGCTGAGTGACACAGAGTGGCAGAGAGACACCACACTGTGCTGGGGGACACAGGGTGACACAGGGACCTGTCCCCAGAGACAAGGGGACACCACACCATGCTGGGTGACACAGGGACCTGTCCCCTGTGACAGGGACACACCACACTGTGCTGAGTGACACAGGGTGACACATTGTGCTGAGGAACAGTGACACAGGGACCTGTCTCCTGTGACAGGGGGACACCACACTGCGCTCATACTATGCTGGGTGACACAGGGTGACACAGGGACCTGTCCCCAGTGATAGGGACACACCCCACTGTGCTGGGGGACACAGGGACCTGTCCTGGTGCCAGGGTGGCCTCACTCCTTGCTGGGTGTCCCCACACCCAGGCCCAGCTGTGGCCCAGGAGCAGCCCCAGGGCTGCCAGGGGGTCACTGCTGGGTCCCTTCCCAGAGCTCAGATCCAGCCTGGAGCTGGGGGGTCCCCTGGGATCCATCCCCACCCTCCAGCCCTGCCCCTGCCTGCTCCCTGCCCTGCCATCCACCCCAGCTGGGGAATAGGGTCGAGTTTTGGGAGAAGAACCCAAAAAAATGGAAACCAGACACTGGTGTGAGCAGAGCCTCCCCCAGAGACCCCCAGTCCCTGCTCCTTGCTCTGCATCACCTCCTCTGAGCTCCCAGGATGAGTTTCTGCTCCCATGGGGGAGATTTTCTCTGAATCCTCATGGGAACATTTCCAGCCTCAGCACGAGGTGCCAGGGGGGGGGTTTGTGGAGCTGGAGAGGGGAACAGAGCTGGGAGAGCAGGAGCTGCCAGGACATCCTCACCTGGGTCACACCTGCACAGGGATGGGCTCAGCAGGACGGTGACATCGCTCCCAGCACTCCCAGTGCTCCCAGCACCTCACCCTGCTCCCGCCCTACATTTAACAGCCCATGGTCATGTCCCCCATGGGAGTTCCTTCCCAGGCAGGGGTTCTCTGTGACACCCCATAATGCCATCCACATCCTGGGCAATGGCCTGGCTGCTGCCCCCCCTGCCCAGCCCCAGCCCCAGCCCACGGGGTACCAGCCACCCCAAAGGGATGCTCCAGCTCCCCACGGTTCTTCTGGGCCCCCAAAGGGATCCTTTCCCTTCCCTAGGGGATGTTCCAGCTCCTCAGAGGTATTTCCAGCTCCACACAGTTCTTCTGGCACCCCAAAAGGATCCTTTGCCTTCCCAAGGGGATGATCCAGCTCCCCATGGGTGTTTTGAGCTCCCCACAGTTCTTCTGGCACCCCAAAGGGATGCTTTCCCTCCCCCACAGGTGTTTCCAGTTCCCCACATTCTTCTGGCACCCCAAAGGGATGCTCTCCCTTCCCCAGGAGATGCTTCAGCTCCCCATGTTCTTCTGGGCCCCCAAAGGGATCCTTTCCCTCCTGAGGAGATGCTCCAGCTCCCCAGGGGTGTTTCCAGCTCCCTACAGATGTTTCCAGCTCCTCACATTTCTTCTGCCACCCCAAAGGGATGCTCCAGCTCCCCACAGGTGTTTCCAGCTCCCCACATCCTTCTGGCACCCCAAAAGGATGCTTGCCCTTCCCCAGGGGATGCTCCAGCTCCCCATAGTTCTTCTGGCACCCCAAAGGATGCTCCAGGTCGCCATGGGTATTTCCAGCTCCCTACAGTTCTTCTGACACCCCAAAGGGATCCTTTTCCTTCCCCAGGAGATGCTCCAGCTCCCCACAGGGGTTTCCAGCTCCCCACAATTCTTCTGCACCCCCAAAGAGATCCTTTCCCTTCCCTAGGGAATGCTCCAGGTCCCCACAGTTCTTCTGGCACCCCAAAGGGATCCTTTCCCTTCCCCAGGGGATGCTCCAGCTCCCCATGGTTGTTTCCAGCTCCCCATAATTCTTCTGGAACCCCAAAAGGATCCTTTCCC